CTGCACAGAGTACTTGAGTGAAAATTACATTATGTGAGAAACAGAAAATTCTCATCCAAAACCAGTCTCATTTTCTCAAAATAAGCAAGCAATAGCCCCCAAGCCCACTCCTGGCTCTCTTTTCCCAGAATACACTGTTAATAGTTCCATTTCTCAACAATGGTTCACTTCTAGTACAAAAACTGTATTTCCAGTGACAACAGTACTTGAACATGTGTGCAGCAGCCCCATTCAGCAGCGTCGTGTAAGTAGCAGGTGTCTTAGCAACTGTAACTAGAACGTGCACATCTGTAAACACGCAGGCAAAAGTTTTGCTGAGGGAGTGATGCCTGGGTATGTCCCAGGGTGAGATGTGGTTGCCCCTCCTGACAGATGACCGTCCTGTTGTGCTTTCTGTAACTAGGCTGTCACTTTGGTTCTGACTGCCGTGAAACTGATTCAGTGCATTTCCATGATGTGATCTTTATCCTGGTCCTCAAAAATGAATATTAGCTAGCAATGTATGCAGGAGTTCAACCCCGAAGACTTTACAGTCTGTTTAGGTCTGCAGATTGCATGTCATTAGTCTTCTCTGTGTTCTTTGAGGCTGTAAAATTTCTTGAGCAGTATTTCATCATGTATGTGTTTGGGTCTGTATAGATAACAATGGCCAGAAAAACAATGAAGTGGAACATATGCTTTGTACTGGAATTTTATCTATTGCATATTGTGGCAAAAATGGTGTCTTGGTGAACATACTGTACTGGTGAAGAACTTTCATTTCATTAAATGAAACGCACCATATGGTGCAAAATGCTGCTTGTTTGTTTTGTATCCACTTCTTACATCCTCTTTTTTCCGATACTGTATGATGGTGGGAAAGGTATTAAGTTGGTTAATATGAAAATTCTGCTTTATAATGCCAGATCTGCATTTTGGTGGATAAATGTTTGCATCCATAAATAATTAAACTTACGTTTTTTCTTAGGAATAAATTGATTGACTATGTCTTAATATTTACATCTGTAACTTTGCATTTGCAAGGACAAACATGAAGGCTGGGCTGGAGGTTGGCTGAAAATCTGGTCTTGCATATTCTATGAAAAATATTACTCAAATTTCTCACAGGTGAATAAACCCCATGCATGGATGAATCTAGTTAATTCAATGGTTTAATAAACCTAGAATCCCAGTAAGGCTCTAACAAATCCCCCTGGCATTTTGGAGTTATGAGAAAGATGTATAAAATTATATGCAAGCAGAAGAACTCTTTCTAAATTCGAGGAGTCTTTTGCACATTATTTTTTTGTTCTGTTCACTACATGAAATAACTTATCTGTGGCTCAGTCATAATAAAGTAGTAGATCAATTATTGTTTGAGGGCAATATTTGGGTCAGTTTGCATCTGACTAGATTTTTTTTCATTTGGATAGTTTGTTTTTGAAACAGTTATGCAGCACTAAGAGAGATGCCTCCCTCTTAACGTCCCTTTGAGAAAGATGGCTAGCTTGAAGTGGAAATTTCTGCAGCTCCCTTGTCAGGGAGCAGCACCTTGTTATAAGCTGCCCCATTTTCAGATGTTAAACACGTGGATCCTGGATCAGATCCAATTCTCTGGTTAGAAACACAGGAATTGCAAGCTGACTAGGAGTGACTGATGTAGCAAAATACCTGGAACTAATACAACTGCATAAATTTAATTATGAATGCTAGGTTTAAGGTCATTGTACTCTGAACTGTCATCTGGACAACTAAGCAATGCGAAGCCTGGTCAGTTCTTGGATGCTAAACCTTCCAGGAAAGAAATATTATACAGGAAATAATAATTCCGCAGTAGGTTCCTTTTGCTGTGTTTTGATACAGAACCAAAATCCTAGTTTAGTGATCGTGTTGCTCTAGGTTTTTTTTCGGTATCATGTCTGTGTTGCTATATTACAGGCATTCACAGGGACAGGATACCCACTCCAGGAAACCTAGAATATGTTGGAAGGGGTATATATTTTCAAGTGAAAAGTAAAGCATATACTGTGACTACATATCATCATGGAAACATCCTACCATATCTTTAGGAAAAGGAATCTGTTATTCTTCACAGCTTCTGAACTGGGGAACTGCCTTCCTTTTCCACTGAATTAAATAAAAAAGCAGGTAAAGCAATGCTGAGCGATGTAAATCTCCTCTTTCAAAGATGCACACATAATTTTAAAAATGTACTTGGAATACAGTAGCAAAACTTATATTCAAAATTTTCAGTTAGTGAAGTTCTGTGGAGTTCAGAGGAAAAAATAATGAAGCTGAAGAAAAGGATGATTGATAAGAAAACTTTCCACTGAATGTACTCCTGTATAAAATTGTAATTTTATTAATAGGTGAGGGAGTATAAAATGCACGAAATCGTAGCTAAATACGTGGAAAGCCATATACTCTGCCCTGGTTCAGAAGATCATAAGTATATGAAATTGGAATGTAGCTGAATTGATTGCGATCTGATATTCATTATACTTCAGCACTGCTGGCAGAATCCCTTCTAACCAAACGTGCATAACATGCTTTCTTAGCACTTTCACAAAGCCTTGAGTTTATAATGACAATTAAAGTGCATCTTTTCCAATAATTACACAGTCTGAATTTGGTCTGTTCTAATAAGCTTTAAGAAAACTTAAATTCCACATTTCAATATCAGAAATCCACTTAATTATAGGTAATCTCTGGCTCTGCATGTCATCTGTATTAGCATTTATATTCCTCATTGATTCTGCAATATAATTGTTTATTGTTGTGAACATCTTTCTAATATATACCTGCAGTCTCATGTAGGCGATGGCTGGCAACCAGCCAAGCTCTTAATTTATCTTTGACTTATCTTATTTAGCCCACCAAAAGAGAGTGGCAGTGTAAATAGCAAACATTCTACATGAGTGGCCAAGGTGACAGCCTGAACAAGCACCAGCTTGTTGTCTTCATCATCATCATCATCTTCACAGGATTCTTTTAGAAAGGAAGACCTGATTTGCCTACCCATTTCTGGAGGCTGGGTACTGGCCTCAAAAACTTGCTTCCGCAATGGAAAGAGCTTATCCAAGAAGGCAGTGCCCTAAATTCTGCTCTGTTCACCATTTGGAAGAGGCAGCCAGGTAGAATTTATTTCTCTCGGGAATTTTTCTTTTGCTGATTAATTGTTTTCCATACTAGGCTATTAAGTTGGTAAAATATTTATAGCCATTATGATGAAAATTGCCAGGAAATGAATTCACACAGTCTCGCTACCTTTTGATTTTTTTTTCTATTTATTTTTTTTTTTCCCAGGACTTTGAAACACTGCTGTGGTTTTGGCTTGCTTCTCTATTCTTGCTATCCTTTTCTGTCACACTCAGTAATTGGCCTAATAAAAGGCAGAAACAAGAATTTATTACTCCTTGGGCAATACTTGAAACAAACTTTATTTGCTGGAGCAGCACTTTTTATCTACTCGCTGCTGTATATTTTGACATTCCTTCTAAATATTAAATCTGACTTTATTAAAAGTTAAATCTTGGCTTTTTTTGTGATTGCTGCTGTTTTTGCAGTTTCTTAGGCAGACTGGTACATATATAAACATATAATTTTAATGAAGCTTTTGGGGAAACAATATAAGCTGTGGCTATATCTACTTCATTACTGCCAGAATCCACAAAAATGGTATGAATTAAAGACTAGCTTCTGTAATACCTTGTAAATTAGCCTTGGAATAATTTCTGTGATGAATTGAGAGAACAAAGATGAGAACTATTCAACTTTTCATACCTTTTCCAAGCTTGGGATTTGATGACATCTTCCTCAAACAAATGATGCCCTTTACGTTTAAAATTGTTTGCAAAAATAATGGTAGTACTAAAAATAAAACCAGGTTAGATTGTTATGATGCAATTTCCACTGTTGAATTTGTATTTCTTCCACATACTAGGTGGTAAAATGATCTTTTTTGTTTTGTTTTGTTTTGTAAAAAGGCCTTAAGAAATAGCAATAACATCATCCTGGAACTGTTTATGCAGGAATTTTTATTCTTTGAAATCTTCCAGTGTTAAAGCAACAAGAAAACATTTAGAATGTCCTTTGGTGGAATCTTATTACACTTGTTATATATGTAAACTGATATTCTTTGATGCCAGCACGTTGCCCATACAGAGAAATCTCTGCACAATTAAATGAAAGGAAAAAGAAAAGGACTAAATAAAAAGTAATATTTTTCTCTTATCTGATTAGAATTAAATACATTAACAAATTGTCTGGTAACACAAATAGGCAATAATACAAAAAATCTACATTGTACATTATTTCAAGAAAAATAACTTCATTTGAATACAAAAGGATAAATACACTTTTTGTCCTATAGCCACTCTTGTACAGTAGGTGAACACAGCATCTTACTGATGCAGTGCTGCTAAGGTATACAAGGATATGACTGGCTTGAGTTTTATTGAGGGGGCTGTTACACATGTGCATCACTAACATCAGACAAAGAAATCTTTCAACCAACAAGGGTTACAGAGCAACGTTCACTAAAGCACAGGTTGGAAAGGATTCGGGACTGAAGCAGGCCAATATGGCAGCTTTTACAGATTTCCTTATACCCACAATGCACTGACAGCAAAGAATGCCTTTATTTGGTCGGTCCACACACCGGGTGGAGGTACGGTAGCGCACCATATAGGAATAGCAAGTGTTTTTTAAATTCTTTTCCCATTCTGGGGGCTGTCAAAGCCATTTCAGTCCTGTGTAAGCTTTGCAGCTAGCATTGACTTGACAGAATAGGCAGCTGCCAACTTGCCTCGAGTCAGAGGTGAACAGTCTTGACTCAGAGCCCTGTCCGTAACTGATTAATATGGCTTAGTTCAGTTAGGCCTCCTTAGTTTGTATGTGGTTATTTTTGCTCTCTCTTTTCCTCCTTAAATTTCAGTAGCAAACGCTTGGGTTTTGTTTTGTTTTCATGTGGCACGTTCCTTTGAAGCAGCCCGAATGTGATGCCATCAACCATCCAGAGTCTAGCATATGCAAAGTCCAGTTGCTCCTAGCAGAGCAGTCAGCAGTAAGAGAGGCCTGTGTGATACTGGCCCCTGGCCGGAGTTTTGGCTGCAGCCTCCCGGGTCCCTTTCGCACTTCAACTTCTCGCATAAAATGCCAGTGTAAGCCGGAGGGCACTGGCATCGCACGTTGTTGATGCATGTTCCTCCGTTCTGGCAATGCAGTAGTTCATTGTCACATACGTTTGCTGCAAGATAGCGGGAGGGGGGAAGAAAAGCAGAATAAATATAAGTTCATCTACAGGAGAAACTCTGCACTGAAACCAGAATTGAAACACTACCTCCCCCCTCTTCCTGAGCCATGTAAACAGGGGATGTGGGTTTTTTTAAACACTTCAAGTTTGAATTTTTTTATTTTATTTGATATTTTCTCATCCTTTTTTCCTTTGTTTTTAGGCTGTAGTCTTGGAGAACCATATCATTCACTTCAGACCACTGACTATGATAATATTAATTAATGAATTAATATGAATAATGAAATAATATGGATATTAATACCTGCCTTGTGCCAGTGTCTGCATTTTTATAGTTACTACTGAACTGGAACTGTGGGTGGGTGTGGTATTATTTGAAAGGGGCAATGTATCCAGAGCTTTTGGAAAGCATGAACAGTGGTTAAAAATGCAACACGGCTTTGCTGAAGTAAAAAGATCTGTATGAGAAGGCAGGGTTTTATAATCAAGAACTGCATGTATTAATGACCTGAAAAAATTACGCAAAAAAGATAAGGCAAGCACAGGCAGGAAATCCAGCATGCTATTTGATGGAGATCATATGGTATATACATATGGAAATAAAAGATAATGTTGTTATCTCCATTACAGATCAAATATTTCTTCTTAATTAGATTTGCTACTTTGGTACAAGGGTAACTGGGATCTTAAAACTATCTTAGTTAGATACTATAGCCTGATATAATATCTTCAGAAGTCAGATTTGACAGAAGAATTAAGAGAAAAAAATACAGGCAAAAGTTTTAGAGCTGCATAATATTATCGTATCTGAAAAATTGACAGCTTCACTTTGTATTACTTAATACCAATGAAATATTTCACTGGGTAAATATGTGGAGATATGAGGAACATACTACTTAAATGTGTCAATCTGTGTTTTATTCCAGGTCATATCACTAGCAGAATACGTGCTAGATTACAGCTCTGTCTTCCATAGGAGAGGCAATTTTAGTAAAGATCTTACACCTACTATTTAGGCAGAATGTAACAGTAAAAATTTTCACTTGGAGAATTAGGGAAAAGATTATTTGATTTAGAAGCAGTCTCAACATTGTATGCTGTTTATGCATACCTTCGCCTGGAAATACCCTAAATAATTCAAAATAGGGAAAATATTGTTAATTTTACTTTAAACATTGCTATTTATTGCTACAAAAAAGTACAGTTTTATAAATGTTAATTTACTTACTTTTAAAAGCAACCCAAGTATTATGAGAACTAAAATTGAAACAGTCCATGTTCTTACGTGATGCAATCCTACATTCATATTATTGATGACAGCCATATGCCTGAATTTTAATGTTCTATATATACATTACAAAAAATAGTGTTTATATTTTGTACAAAGAACAGTAAATCACCACCAAATGAATGTGATGAGATTAACAACCCAGAAAATTATAATGATAACAGGCTGAAAAAAACCAAACTGTATTTTAAAAGTCAGCATTTGAGTTACATCTCTTACAACTGAGGCTATACATCTTTAAAACTGACTTTATTATTCATATTGTATATATTTAGCCATATCAGTAGGCAAAATCAAAATACTTTATCTGATGGTACAGCTACCGAATCTGCTTGTTCTAGACTACTCATTGCCGAGATGCTTCCTACAGTTCAGGCAATGAAAATGGTGAAATATCTGCCCCATCAATACTGACCATTGTTTGCCTTGAATAACTGAATGGAATTCAATAGTTAATTAAATACCACTTCTTAAACAGGAGATGAGATACTTCACTTTGTGTTTGGCTCAGAATATGTTATCCAAATTTTCCCAGGTATTCAGTAAAACAAATTTATCTTCCACTAGCTTTCCTATTTTTAAACTTACTTTGACAACTATAGCCTTTTATTTTCAGAGACCACCAGCCCAGACTCTGCTCTGTAGTTACAGTCTGCTGGAGATGTGTGGCTGAAGTGGCGTTTTGCTACATGCTGGCTGTTCTGCCTGACACACCGATGCAGGCTGCTATCAAATGCCTCTAATCATTGCTGTCTACAAAATTCTGGATACAATGTTCTAGATGCCGATTTGTAAGTCAGACCATTTATTTCTCATGAGAAAGTTTTTTTAAATGCACTCTAAAGAAGGGATGGATCAAAAGCTTCTCCTTCATTTTTCTTGCATGCTTTTAAAAGTTTGTCCACAGAATTGCATTAAAGTAAAAACAGGTAGATTTTCATGTTCTCAGCAAATTACTATGTAGCTGAAAATTCTTGAATTTTTAATCCGGTATTGTTACAGCTTTCTTTTTCTTAGTTTCTTAGTATCTCTTGCTCTTGCACACACACATGTACTCACTATATGTATCACATAGATAGCAATTGTGGTGATTGGGAAGTTAAATGAAACAATTCTGAAAATGTTACGAAATCCCATTATTTCCTTTTGCCAATTTTGTTTTAATTTTATTCTGACCAACTCTAATACCATTTCCACCTTCCTGAAAGCATGGTCAGGATTACTTTTAAAACTTTAATATTAACTGATTATGTTTATTTAGTTTAGGAATTGGATTAGCTACAGCTAATGAGTGTAGCACATCAGCAGCATAAAGAAAAGTACTTTCACTGGAATTTAAAACAAAATTTTTGCCTTAAACAAAAGCAGTTGACATGCTGCCAGGACCAAAGCAAGGCAAGTATATTAATTGTTGTTTCAAACGTTAACACAGTATTTTTTCTAGGATAGGCGATATAACACATTTTATTTCTGAAGAGGCTCTAGGCATTACTCAGAGAAGGCAGTGACCTGGGAGCTGCTGAGCAGGGCAGGAAGGGGCAGAAGCTTGCAGCCCCCTTGCTTTGTGCTGATGCCCAAGGAGAGCTGCTGCAGCTGGTGCTGGTGGGAGCAGGTAGGGCTGGCTGAACCCCAGCACGTGCTTGGCCCTTGGCCTTTTCCTTTCCCCAAGCAGCAGGAGCAGCGAGCCTGGTAATACGGGGCTTTCCTGCCTGTTGTACCCCTCCTACCTTCTCCTACCTGCTGTGCCCTTGCCCCTTCTTCCACTCCAAGCAGTGAAATGTTGCCTCCACTGCTGAGAGCTGTTGAACCAGCTCTGCCTTATCTTCATCATTAAAAGTAACAATAATGAAAAATTAGCTTGAATTTATCTGAAAGGCATCAGGTATCAAGTTCTGATCAAAGAATGAAACACGGAGAAGTGATGCAAGTAAAAGAACTAATTCTGAAGTAATCACACATGACTAAGACTTGTGTGGCTGAACTAGCTGTGGGTTGCCTGGCAGATCTTCATTAATTAGAAGACAGGACATCAAATTGATCATTTAAGAAAGAAAACAGAGATATCTGATTTGCTCTGGAGAGTTTTGCAGGCCTTTCAGGGACATATTTCTGAGCACAGTCTCCAGATCTGCGCTACTGTGGGAAGTGAAATATTTAAAGTAAACCAGAGCAAAATTTTTAATGTTATTTTTGTAATTCATCAATTTGCAGTCTAAGCTACGGTCTGATTATGGGATCCTTAAAACACTACACAAAGGAGACAGAAAAAAGCCACATGTAAAAATGGATAGATATTTGAAGCTTTTCTGTCCTTGGGGCAGCCCCCCCCTTTCCCTTCCAAACCAACAAACCCCTGCAATTAGCAAGAGATATTACTATTTTTGAATTAAAATGTAAACATCTTTTCCAAAGTAATCATTAATAAAATATTGAAGCCTCTTTTTTAGGATAAGACCTCTATGAATGATGATGAAAGATGCTTTGCCACAAGTCACAGAATAGTCTCGATTTGTAATTCCAGTGTTATTACATTTGGAAATGGAATAAAAAAAGAGGAAAACAAGGGGAAAACATCCAGTCTTTCAACCAGCTCAAGCAGTTCAAGGGATAAGTGATGTGCTAGTGTTTCACAGAATTTATATTGAGTATTTAATGGAATGTATTGAGAGTAGCATAGTTATTTGACATATGTCTATTTTCCTCTTAAATGTTCAAATCTGAATAATACACAAAAATTTCTGAGTTTGTCCAAAACTCAACTTTAAAACCATTGCAGCTTCTTGAAAGAAAAGGGATAGACAACTGTGGCTGATTTTAGTTCTGAAGCAGCAATATAGACACAGTAACACAAACGCAAGCCTTGTTCTCTTTGATCTGGAGGGCCACCTCAGGCACAGCATTGTGCTGTTGACTTCTTTCTGGTTACTGTGGGCAACTTCAGAGCACATGCACAGGGCTTTTGGTCTGCCTACTGCTCAGACAGAAAAACAATATGCTATTGGACTTAAGCACAGTTTCTTTTAGCCTCCTGTCTTTCCTGAAGGCCATCCAAGAGGGGAGAAAATACATTTTGTACCTTTCTTTGTGCTACCTTAATTTTTGTACAGCTTGCCTACAGTAACATTTTATTCAGGTGGGTCAGCCACATGAATATGAGAAAGGACAGGCTATTGACTTAAAAGAAAGAAATGAATGTATTCAAAAGGATACCTTTTTTGATCAGGGGTAGGTGGTCTTACTTTCTGCATCAAAATCTAGATTCATTATGAAATTTTCATTGTTTGTGGGAACAGCATAAAGACCATTAATGATAAAGTCACAGAAAGAAAACTTTTTATTAGAGGGCCTTGCTTCCTTTCTTGAATTCTGAAGTCTTTCATTTCAAGCAGTGCTTTGTATGATCTCTCCCATCACTATTTTTCTTCAGTGTGCTCTTTTTATGTTATCATTTGTTACAGCCTTCTCTTTCCCTCTCTTTTTAAAACCATCTCTTCACTTTTGTCCTTTTTTTGTCTCCCAGATCATGAGTATTATAGTCCCTGGACAGGTTGGTGGGCTGACAGCTCTGAATATATTACACAACATTTTGGTCTATTCTAAAGCAGCGATGCAAGCTTTGACCCTACTTCTGCTGCAGTGAATTTTCCATACTGTTTGTCAGTAGTTTGTGTGAATGGCACTATTGAAATCACGAGAATTTTTTGAC